TCGAATTAAAAATAACTGGAATTAGTTTACACAAATACTGTAGCAAAGAATGACGCATGTTATTAGTGCAGGTATACGGAAATGTCATTCTGCCTGTTAGCGTCCAGAGAAAAAGGCGACCGTTTAAGCAAGTCAAACCGACATCATATTTAAGCAACTCCAGTGAGTAAAAGCACAACAATCTCACAGTGCTTGTTCGAGCAATAAATATACTCGCGACATAAATATATGAGTTGATAAGCATGATTTAAATATACAAGACTGAGGTTGCGTGGGTACTGAGAAAATGTGACTGTGTTCATAAAAATCATGTAAAACATCACGCAAGATATACAGCAGTGGCAAAGGTGAAAAGATTCATGAGAGTCAAGCTTTTACTACAGACTGTTAGCTATGTGGGGCCACGTTCCTGTTTACACGCAGTGCTTACCCTGAGGATGAAAACTGCAGTTACTGTCTGAAATGTCAGCTGAAAACAGAGATTACTTGCTTCAGCCTATAGCAGTTGATATGGGCATCCTTATTTCTAAAAGACATTTTTCTTCCTTATTGTGAATCGACAAAAATTACAGAATATCACTTCACTTCATTTGGATCACTTGGAACGGCGGGAAATCTGCGACGAATCACGCTGCCCGCAACACGCCCTGCGGCATCGAGCTTTCTCCCTCCAAATGCGGCTTTTCTGGCTCTTGATATAACCTTTCCACCGGCGTGGCGAGCGACTAGCTGGAGTAATCATGCGAGACTATTAGGCGACGATCATCGCCGACAATCACACACCGATAATCCTAACTACATGCCCGGACCACAGCAGTTTCTCCTTTCTAGTTTCGACAACGAAGCCATTCACTTCAGTCCGCTTTATGATCCGCGTGCTGGTGAGATGGACGCAACGTGAGAGTACCAACATTCCTCTTCCCATTGCTCTGTTGATGAAAGAGAGCTGCCGGTTTTCGGCCTTCGTGTGGCCACGTTTTACAGCGATCAACGTCACCGGTAGAATTCAGTACAGTTTATTGTATACCTATTAAGAAAGTAGCGATAGGGTATAAATTTCGGGAAGCGGTAGTCTTAAAAATTTTCTAACCACGGAAGGGCAAAACGGACAATTATCTCCTTCCTAATCATACTATGACAGGCATGTACAACCAAATAATACATTTCCGTTACCATGCTGCGGAAGAAGCTTCCAGACGCGGTCGACATATTCCGTTCGCTCGTTGCCTTTCAAATAAAACAGGGGCTCGCCGCAAACCTGAAGCAACACCTGCGCCTGCCTTTCGGTAAGCATATCTGAAAAATCAGAGCGAATAATAATTATTTAATTATATAATACGTGAAGAATGTATGTCTTCAACATCATCCGTGCTCACCATCAGACTTGAGAAGTGTGAAGAACTGTTCCACGCGATCATGGCTAATTAACCGCAGACGGAAAAGATCGTTTTCGATCGTCATCAAAAGATTACTAATGTCGATTGCCTCTCTACTGGTCTCAGCCCCATTCTCGTGGTTAATCTCTGAACCGAACTGGTCAAAGTTCGCTTGCGACGCTAGCTCGTCAGATACACTCTGAGATGTCTGCAAACTCTGGGCAGAAACACTAAAACATATTCAAATGCACGAGTAAAATTAGCATACATTTCGCAAAATACTCTAACAGAATACTATAATATGTAATACAATGTAATAAACATTGACATTTCGGACCAAGCACAGAGAGTTCTTAAGATAAAAGAAGGAAAAACTCCGCTGGATAAACGAGAAGGGAAATTTTTTGGCAACTTGGTCGTTAACCTGATGTCTAAAATATGTGACCATGTGAAAGTAGTATTCGCATCTCTATCTAGATTAATGACTGGACGTTGCGCTGAGAACTGCAGAACAATAGATATACCGCAAATGAGACAAACGACGACAAAAAGATAACAAGATCAGGGAAATGGTTAAAAGCAATTTATTCTAGTCAAGAATACTGAAAAATATTGAACACGGGATCTTTTCTTTGTCCATTTTTACGGCCGACGAAAAAAATGTTGTTACCGCTATCTGAGACTAACTGAGCAACTACAGAAGAGTAACCCAGATTTATGTCCGACCGTTACAAGTTGCGCTTTTGGCCAATATTGGCCGTGTTCACTGCTGAGGCAAAAGTTATATTCCTCTTCGCAAGCAGGTTTCCCTCAAAGAGGAGTTTCCACACTTTGTGTTCTACTCCAACGCATCTACGGCCAATGTACGGTTTCCAAGCGAGAAAGAATTTGAACATGAACGATCAGTATGAGATTTTCGCACAATTAGGTATCCGACTTAGGAAGATGGAAAGAAACATTATAACCGCTGGGATGTCGATCTCTCTTCTACTTCATGACTGGGGACATTTTGTAGAGCTCTTTATTTCATCAAACCTATGGATCAAACCCTAAACAGAGCGGATCTCAGTTTACATGAGATCAGCCGTAGCAGAATGTACAGTTATGAATTACGTTTAGTCTCTTTTCCACAAAGTGATATTCATTTATGATGCTCGGAACGAAGAAGCAACATAACCACACCGAGAAATTTTGATTCTGAATCTGACCCTCAACCGACTGAACAACCCCCGTTTTAAACATGGGGATAATTTTCAGCTTGAACGCCAAAAGAGAACAACGAAAAAGGAACTTTTTGAATTATCGCATAAAAATAACTGGCACTTAAGAAGGTAAAAACAAAACTACTCACTGTCTGTGAACGCTGAAATGGTCCCGGAGAAGCACATGACGAAAAACGTGGCTTGAACAAGTAGCACGCGAAAAACACCGTAGTCCATTGATCGCTTCGCCCCTGATGCACAATCTCCGTAGCGCTAACATGACTGGTGAATGTTCCACAATGTCGACTAAAAGGAGTTTTATGCCAAATGTAGGATTATTAACAACATAAATAAATATAAAGACGTTTATTGCAATAACAGATCAAGACGAATATTAATCAATCAAACACTTATCGAACTTTAATTCTAACATATAAAGTCGTTTCAACTGAAGTGCGCTGGCAATGAGTGATTGCAAACCTCTAGAAAAGCGCCAAAGCGGAATGGACATTCAACTGAGAATGACGGATGTGTGGCAGTGAGGGCCTTGCTGAACCGGTTCTTGAATTTTCCTTGGAGTCACTTAGGTCCAGAATCATCGCAAAATAAAATTTCTGAACCCGCGATCAAAAGAAAAAACATTGAGCACAAAAAATAAATGGATAGGTAATCAACAGGTGATCATCAATTTTAAGCAAATGTAAGTTACAAAAAAAACGAGTCAACGTAAATCACATACACTAAAACATGAACAATGTTAAGCAATAAACTTCTACAATCAAACATACGGTCGATGGTCAACGGGTCGGAAAATACCATTACATCGACGACAATAATTGCTCGATTTCTGCTGTCGTTCAACATCTCATCAATGTTGGGAGAGTGAGAAAATTGATGAAAAATATGAAGTAAATGATAAAAATGAATGAATGCCGGATCGCGCAAAGCGCAAAAATCGATGGCGAAACGCCATAATACGCGGCAGTAGAAACTCCGTTTAAATTTAGATCTGGACGTGAACTAAGAGTTAAATTCCCTCGGTAAGTTTAGCATTTTACGAAAAGCAACCCAGAAGCCACTGAAATCGAAGTCTTCATCAATGACATATGGAAAAAAACCAAAACATCACATGCTTCTACACCAAACTTTACTTAACTGAGACCTACATCAGAAAATTTTCACTGTCGCATCATCGTCATCAAAGAATAGCACAACTTAAACAACCGAGCCCAGAGTAACCTAGGATTATATCCGCCTTTTACTGATGCTTAAGTTGAACGAAAGAAGATCTTAAATTGATCGACGAAACAGAACTACGCATAAGGTTGAACATTTAACACAGACATGATCAACCAGAACGATGTGTTGAAAGGTTTTTAGAATATTCAACTTTTATTGCGCCATAAAAAAAGTTCCAACTTCAACATGTTTGGTTTAATGATTACTACATAAAACGAACGATGATCTCCTTAACAAATCGAAATCGTGTTTTCTTTGATTAGACCTTCTAATGCAGTCCTGTTTAGTACTAGGATAATACAGGCAAATATAGCTGCAAAACTAATTCTTGATGGGCATACGATCACCTCTGTTGCAGGCTAATTTACTGAGAGGTAAAGCTTTCATTCTGCAACGTGCATACTAACGACATACGAACGAACGACTAATCGAATGCAAACCATATTAAACGTTTGACGACAGTAAAAAAATGTTGGAAGGAGATTTTTCGGAAAATATTCAAATCTTAAAAGGCGATCTAGAACATCATGACGAAACATAGACAGCTTTAAATTTGAACCCTAAGTACGCCGCATTTAGTATGAAACTGCTGCGGATAAAGTGGTGCCTTAACGGTCACGTTAGTGATACGTTACCCGCGGTATGGATTGTACAACCTTACCTGAAAATCAGTTTTTATGTACCATTACTTATTCGAATAGAATATCGATCTATCGTCTTTCATAACTTCCTAACTTTATTCAACAAAATACGCAGAGATGGTCGGCTACTAGCGATAAAATTTTAAATGATAAATAGTTTATATTTCACATAAAAAAGTGATCAGTCAGATGATTCACGATGCAGGCATTTCGATCATATTTCTATAATCTTATGTAGGGCAGAGCTGTTAACAAACTCCTGTAATCTTCTGTGTTGTCTTCAAAAGGCAGTAGGTATGAATTAAAAAAATTTTTGCTAATCAGGCGCAAATCTAAGTACTTGACATTTATGTATAACAGTTTGTGACTTCCACGCTCAGTAGTTTATTCTCAACATCCGGCAATTGATAATTTATGCTCAACAAGTTTATTCAACAGAACCAGCCACTTCTTCCTCATTTAAAAATTTACGAATATTAATTGTTTATTAAGGCCACATAATCACCCTTGTGTGGTTGTCTCATTTAGCTTTCACTATACGTTGAAGACAGCGCTCTTGTTAGTTATGGAAATATAAAATCTGTCGTTGAAAGAAGTGTGTAACGAAACGATGCACTTATGTAAACGCAAACTTACTAAATAATTTACTAAACTAAACATGTTCTCCTGTATGTAATGAATATTTATTAAATTTTCAATTTTAGAGCAACGTTGATCATAATAGCAGTGATGGAAATTATTGAAATTCGGTATCGATATGCAGAACTTGAGTGGATGATAACGATTCTCAAATAGTAAATTCATTGCCTTTAGTTGGTGAAAAATCATTGGATGATTTGAAAGGGATAATGGTTGTGGTAAATCAATTGGGAATGAATCAATGTTTGTCAGCGGTGACTTGATTTCAATTCACCCCAACGAAATCACTTTTAAGGTCAGTGTTCAACCAATCTTTTGAGACAGTTGCCTTAGGAATGTCGCACATTTGTAGGTTTGCGACATGTAAATGACGAGCTGATTTTTCCCTTTTCAATATCTGTTATCGCCGCTCTCAGCGGAATTTTCTCTCTGTAAGGTTCTCTGTCATTCCACGCATATGGGTTGCCCAGAAAAACATGTTCTGCAGTTTCATTCTTAACTAGTTTAGCGTGTAATATCCAAATGCCATCATCCGCACTTTTTGTCGAAGACCTATATGGACAACAATGCATCCAGGTAATTCTGGAACAAAAACGTGCAAAATTACGCAATTTTCGATAAAATGTGTTTTATGGTAACGTTATAGCGGTTTCATCTCAGAATACATTGTTAGTAATGTGAACTGTCTACACCATTCCACAGAATCCGAGTATAAATATAGCTAGGCCTCCTGTCGCGAAGGTATGCTTCCATTTTGATAGGCAATGATGTACAGGTGTCACATTAACTTCACGCATTCAGCATCTTTGAAGTCTGTGTATGTATACAATACGCAGTCATGTACATTATTGGGAAAACGAGCCATTTTGCTTGTGTACAAAGTTTCTGTATATTGCGCAAGCATATAATGAATACCAGGCCTGTTAAACGACCATTTAACAGGCACACAGTTAATGTGGTGAATAATACTGTCCGAGACGTATCTGTCCCTTTAGATGTTCAAGCAGCGTAGAGTGTTTAATTGCCTTAATGAGAGCTCAGAAAAAATGAACGACGCACTGACTACCATTAATACTGCATTAGTGAAAGGTAGACACCCAGCGGTATTCTCTAATTTACCAACCATATACTTGCTGTCTGATTTTACGGAAAACGCTGGGATTCTTTTCAGTATTAACGCCTGAAGGCAGTAGTTCATCAGATTAACGTAGTAAAACGTATTAGAAACGAAAATCTTCCTACCGTCCATTGTTTCCTACCGTCCGAGGACAGAGCGAGAAAGTTTATTCGAAATCAACAAAAACACAAATTACTTGCATTTATATTTGTTGGTTATGAGCCAACATAGGAGTGATGTCTTAAATATCACTTTTAGATAGAGCCTTTGGCCTATGAAATGGTTAAGCGAATGTCACACAAAGTAAAGCACTGCGATAATGAGAGCTTGTTTGAATGAACAAAAGCTGGACGGTTCACTTTGCTAAATTTTATCAAGTTGAGTGCCTGATGATCACTAACACTATAACTAACACAACCAAACAGCCATCACAGACCTAGTGCAATTTCATTAGATCATAGAAGTAGACATTTTAGTATTCACGAACACGCTGATCCTCCTTCATTATAAAAATTGTAACTAGTAATTGAACTTCGATAGTCGCCACAACTCTAAGGGTCACAACCAACCGTGACTGGTTCGGAAAATGATACGCTCATGTGTTGGAATACGACAGTAGACATAATTTATGACAAGAACTTGCCATGTCACGGTGCTGTAGTTCAGCCTAGCAGTATGTTCGACCCAGCCTCGCGCGCACTGCTATTTCAAGGTCCGACGAAACAATCATCATCGTTACCACGGAAACTTCTCCTTTCGGCTCGCAGAGGCAGAAACGTCAGACAGTGCTTCCAATGTCCAATGTTCCCGATCCTGTGCCATATTCTTAACTTCGGCAAAAGACAGCTGGAGCCAGAAGAATGCTTCTTCCATATATTGGCACCAGGCTAATCTTAACCGTCTCCTGGCCCTTTTTCCGGTCGGATTCGCAAGAAAAAGTTGCTCAGCCTACCTTTCTAGAGGCATTCGCAATACATGAGCAAACCATCGCAGCTATGACTTCTCGATCTGAAGAAACAGAGGTTGTACAACCAGGATCTACCAAATGACAGTATTTCGGACCATGTCGAGACCTGTAGCGATAACGAACAGCCTCAGAAAACCTATTTCAAGAACTTGTACCAGGGTTCTAAGCTTTTCAGTCATGCTCCACGACTCATGACCTAGGTGAGCATGGGGATAAAGATCTACTTGAACAGCGAAAACTAAGTTTTCAGACTGAGCTCTGCTTTAGTCACAATGGGTCGGTCTAGTTCGGGCGGAACGCCACTGGCGACTCCAATTCGCCGGCCGATCTCTTCATCCAAACTTCAATCACTAGTAAACATGACTACAAGGTACCTCTCCACCTGCTCTACTGCCTCTCCGTTAATCCGAAGAGGGGCAACAGACAGGAGAACGAGAAAGCACTAGACATTTCGTTTTCAATGCGTTCACGCGCATGCCAGTCACGTCGCACTCGGCTGCGCTCCCTTTTAGGGAGCACTGAACATCAGTTTCTGAAAATGCCAATAAAACAAGGTGGCCTGGAAAGAGCAACCTCGTCTTCATGTCTCCTATGCTGATGCACTCATTGCCTTAGCCATTCCTGGCTATTCTATCGATGTACAACACAAACAGGAGAAAGGGCAGGACATAGCCTTGGCGGAGACAAGTGCCAACGTTGAAAGAATCGAATCGACTTAACGTTATTTACTGTGACACAGCACCTGCTATCAGGACAGCGATTGCATGACCCTTAGCAGATGGCCATATATCCCGCATGCTCGCAGGCGTAAACACAGACTGTTGCACGTTACGCGGTCGTAGGCGTTTCCTACGTCAATAAAATACATGTACACCCACGACATCTCAGCAATTTGTCGCAGGGCGAATATATTGTCAGAGGTTCTTCGAGCGTCCTGAAGCCACATCGCTCTTGTTGCATCTTGGAGTAAGCTTTTTCCGCGGCACCTCCTTTCTGTCACTTTTGCACAGACATTGCCTGGGAAGCACAAAACATAATGCCCATAAAATTGGAACACTCCCTTTGGTCTGCTTCTTGAATAGGGGTACAACTCCCGTTCTCCTGTCCGTTGCTGCCTTCGTCATAGTCATAGCAGTTTGACAGACACGTGTAACTCAGCACAGGACCAGTTCACTTAATGCCTTGAAGATGTCAGGGTGAATTTTATATATTCAAGAAGCCTTACCATTTTTTGTTTTGCACAGCTTGTGTAACTTCATCC